TGGTGGAAACGATAGAACGGGTTACAGGTAGATTTGTGCCAAAAATCGGTGAAATCAGTCAACGGACGCAGCAAAAGAGAAACTGAGAACAAAAAAATAGATCTTTGCTCATTATCCATATCTTAAAATAAACAAATCTGTAAAAATTTCCACGTTTATTCCACGGATGATCCTGCAGCATACGTATAAAAGTGGCCCCTCAACAGTACAGAGAATAAAAATTTTATTATACCCATCACCGAAGGATTGTGTTTGCAATTGGCAAACTTAAAGTTTTGAAACATTCAACGTGAAGTTATAATTGTTGCTTAGCTACTTGTTCGGTGTTTTCGTACATATCAGCGCGCTACTATTGTCATTGAGAATAGTGATAGCACCCTCAGCAGAGATTTGATCAGATAAATTTCTTAGCCGCTTTTGTCATTTAGTTCTCTCTCCAAATACGAAAATAAAATATAGAGCACGGTTTTAAACCGAAAAAAGAGATATGAAAAATAACAATGCACGAAATTTAAAAATAAAGCGAAAGACAAGTGAAATCGAAGAGAAGCCCATCTGATCTTTGAAGTATTGAAATTTTCTATATCGTTATTTAAGATGAAATATGTTTTCAAGAAAGTGACTCGGTCTCTGTTATGATCCGATAGGAACAAAAACTCATTAATATGCCAAGAAAGGTTTGGTAAGTTAAAGTTACTAAGCACAATTATAATGTGGGATGGATTCATGCTTTGCACCAATTTTACAAATAAGAAAGTCATGTCTTTTATATGTAATAATTTCTGAATTTAGAGGAATATAGGAATATATTATAAAAATAATGTTTCTTTGTCCGACTAGCCTAATAGCAACAAGTTCAGTATCAAAAAGTCTATAAATTGAAAATGAGTGGACGGGAAAGCATCGGATGTTGCTATAGTAATGCCCGCGTCGATACTATTTTGCCCGTGATTGGAAGTAACTAAGGAAGAGCTTAGGTCTGTGAAGTTCAGGCTTTAGCCAAAGTTTGGTAAAAGGTATTCTTGTAAATTAGCAGTTTGTGTTGCTAAGATAGAATTGGCGCATCTTAGAGTTCAGATCCCCTAACACCTTTAAGAGTAAGAGGAAAAAGGGCTCGGAAAAGATATTCGATTCTTAAACTAGTGGAGGAGGGAGTCGAGGAATTACGTTTGGCTTGACAAGTGCTCTTTGCATCTAGAACCTTTTTAGATTAGGCCGATATAAGTCTATATTGAGTAAAATTGAATTTGCAGACCGTTATTCTGTTGCGTTTAACTGAAAGTTTTTTGTTATTTATGTTATTTATTTATCCTCAGGTGATGTACCCAAAGAAAATCTATACAAAACAGCTTGGTAGTCTCTGAATTTGTTCGACCAAACTCTTAGTTCGTTCGCCAGTTCGTAGGAACAATTTTCGGTTCGGGTAAGAAACTTAGAAAAGTCAATGTCCAGGTTTTCACAATCGGAGAAAGACGCACGCAAGCCCTTAGCAAAATCGTAAGTGGTACTTAACACGCTAATTCTGCAACATGCAGACTTGCCATGTGCTAGGCGTTACCACAGTTGGCGTACAATGAAACCGTCGAATATTTCTGCTGGAATTTTGTAAGGCTAGTATAAACAAACCATGTTATTTACCAGATCACTAGACAGAGCGATGCAAGTCAACAACATTAAAGGCAATGAGAGTAAAAATAAAAATGTAGCATACAACCATAAAAGAGCAAGTTTACTTACAAAAAGTAAATTTAAAAAAAAAGACAAAAGATAAACGTAAGTAAAGAAATGAAAAAAGGCTAACGTTATAATGCTGGAAAAGATGTGCTTATGGCGCAGAGCACTAACAAATAGTTTAAGATCGGTATTGTTAAAAGTTGCACAATAAATTATCGCATAAAAGTACAGATTTTTGTAAACAATTGAGAGCACGAGATTACACACCACCGAATTAACATAGAGTTGCCGGACTTAATGACGCCAGTTACTACGTTTAAAACGCAAATTCTTGCATACTCTGGGAAATATTTAACCGGGAAGAAAGTAAATAATATTTTTAATACGGTTTTGGAGAATAAAATGTTTGAACAAGGAAAGCTTCTTTGTTTTAATAGTTTTAAAGTTCTACTGTGTAAATTATACTGAACCGTAAATCGACTAATTTTGATTCAAAACCTTTGTTGTTTCACAGCCCCATTTTTTCCATTCCTTATTATTGATTTCGTTGTCTCTACACGTACACATGAATATTTACTAGTTGTCATACTTTCAGCGTTGTTTGCCGACATAATCCTTCGGCATGGTATCTGGTTTTTATTATATGTTTTTATAATTCATGGTATTTTGTTAGTTTTTTGGCTTTTTGTCCTTTAACTTTTGCTCAATTTTTGCATTACCGGTCCTCTAACAAATACAGTTGGAAAAATATCTATTTTATTAAGAGTGCATATAACTCTTTTACTTAAGTTCCACATCACATCTAGTTTTAAAATATAAAAGTTATAATACGAACGCAATTAAATTTCATTTCTATATGACATGTGGTTGAAAATCAAACCAAAGTACTACCTTTAAACTGGACTAAGTGGAAACAAAAATGTACATGTGTTATAACTATAGGCTTTTTCAATGCAGCTTTTTATTGTTTCATACTACCTAAAAGTAGGCTATGCTTTTAAAAAGTTGTTTAAGTCTGAAAGTATGCTACAATACAAGAATAATGTTAAAACAACAATAAATTTCAAGCACTCTTAAGCATGTTCTTTATTACAGAGGAAAGAAACAACACCACATCCTAATAGTATGCTATGTTAACTCAAGTGTATAATAATTAAAAAGAGTACTATCGCTTAAATTTTGTGTAAAATATAAGTAATTTCAAGCCGTACGTTTAATGATGATTGGTGCCTCTTTCAGTTTATTTACTTTTTTATTGAAATTTATTTCTATGTCCGCGTAAAGCGCGTTTTATGTATGTAGTAATCTTTGTTCATGTATAAGAACATGCACTGGAAATCAAATAAGCTATAACACACCGATCGTTAATTTGGCTGACACATAGATGTCGTCTCTAACAAACATTCATATTATCTCTTCGAACTAAACGGCGACGACGATATCGATTCGATCGTTTGTTTGCGAGGTATAATGGTTTCTGTGTTTTGTTATTTTCAATAAGTAAAAAATTCGAAATTTGTGGTTGGTTTTTGATGGGGAAAAATACCATTCAAACAGAGTATTGGCTTGGAATGTATTGTGGCATCTGTCCGCCATGTAATAAAAGTGGGAATTTGTCGGTGAATTTTTGCAAAGAGTAGTTTTGCTTCAAATTCCCTCATAAGGGCATCCTTAAACGAGTTTTGTACAATGTGCTTGCGGTTTGACGTATATAAATTTTAGAAGGTCAATTCAATTTTCCACTTTTGCATTATATTCGAAACCTGCTGCCCCTGACTTATCTCTTTGTGGTTGATCAATCTTCGACATCTTTCAAACTAAAATAAATTCTTTATTAATATTGACTTCGACTTTATTGTATTCCGATGATGAATCCGTTGCGTTTAATGCGTAATGACTTAATAGTTCCGTCTGTAGGTCTAACCTTGAGTCAGAAACAAATGATCTAATTTTTTTCTTCAGCGATTTCTCTCAAAACCATTTGATTTTACTCTTTTTAAAACAGTCTCAGTTCATCAATTCATGTTCACTCGGAGCCCATTATCAGTTTTCACAAAAGAAACTCTCTTCATAAATATCGGTGTTAAGCTTTTCTGATAAAATTAAACTCACTTTTCAGAAAAAGAACAACAAAAAAGAAGAAAATTACGTATGTTATTGCATTGAAAGATTTAAAAACTTTGCCAATTTTGTACATTTAAAAAATAAAAAAATATAAAAAACTAAATATTGTCAAACTAACTTAGTCGTTAGTAATTCCACTCAGACTTGCTACTTTGCTTACTCCCGGAAATTGTTGATCGATGGTGTTATATATTTTGAAGTTATGTGAAGAACATAGACGATAATTTTGACCACCCGTTTAATAACAGTTTTTTAGTCTTGATACTAACTAATTGCATTGGTCTTAGGCCTGGTCTTAGGCTTGGTTTTAGCAAATATCTGAAAGAACGATTTCTTCCATTACGTTATTACCTACGTACTTTGTATATACAGATATATATACAGACTTTTTTTTGTTTTTGGGACGTGATGGAGGTAGCTTAGTGGATGTATGCCTAGTGATTAAGTCTTATGCCTTTACCGATTGAGCGCTCATTAAGTTACGAACGAAATAAACTTTATCCCATTTGAAATTTGAACTCGTTACCACTGACTTGGTAGTGTTGATTCTTATCTGCTTAGCTACTCATGCGAATATATATTATGCTAAGTATCTCACATTTGCTTAAGTTTACTTTTAAAATGCTGTATATATCATCGGTTACTTCTAGGAAAGAATCAAATCCGCCAAGGTAACCGCGTGTTTTTTCTTTCCCATTTCCATAGAGTATAAAAACAATAGCGCCATTGCAATAAGTCTTTTAAATCGCATGGAACATTCAGAACATATGCATTGAATATTGCATATATTATTGATAGGTTATTTATTTACTCGTGTTCGCCTACGTCCGCAACAGCTAGTATTAATTAAGGTAGTTGAAAAGAAGAAAAAGATTACAAGTATGAAAACAATTTTTTTTTGCAAAGATCTTTCGAAAATTTGTCGTGGATATTTATCCGGTTTATTTAATTTTTTTATGTAAACCGGAAATATAAAAAGAAAAAAACCAAACAAACATAATATCTTATATCGACAAATCGTTCTCTTTGAAAGCCCTTTTACATATTCTTCATTATAAACTAGTAGCATAATAAATTTAACGTATTTTTTGTATATATATGTATATATTTTTTTCTTTTGTATATTTTGTTTTTTGTTCTTACTATTTATTCTCTTAATGAGTTAACGTGTACCTGTTCTTTTTCTTTCTTCGGCATTATAGGTTGACGGCCAGAAATACATTGGACAGGGACGTAGTAAAAAGATCGCTCGGATCGAGGCGGCCGCTACTGCATTACGCAGTTTTATACAATTTAAAGATGGTGCTGTATTGACTCCGTTGAAACCGGCTTGCAATTTAGACTTCACAAGTGATGAGCATCTGGATAACGGTAAAGGTGTTAATAGTGTTGACGCATTAAACCATTCTCAATTGGTTGAGATTATTGAGAAAATTGTGAAGCATGCTAAACTTTCATCCTTAACCCCAAACGCTTCCCCATTTGCGAATATTATCTCTCCAAGCAAGTATTTTTTATTTTTTTTATTTCCTACTTTCCTGTGATGCACGTATTTCTTAACTTAACTTAATTTTTTAATTTATTAATAAACACGATATCCAATTGGACCACGAGAAATTTGAAAAAACGTTTCCTATGCAAATCGAGCTTGAGATTTCTCAATGAAAGCCATATATTTTGGGAAGTAAGCCACATGGGAAAACAGATTTTGTCCATTTCTAGTTCGATATATTACGTACAATAGTATCATGTTTTAGGGATAAATGTGTGAAAAATAGATCGTATACATTATCATTCATTAATTACTTTCTCTCAACAAATTCTGATTATAAAAATTGTTATGCTTAGCATTTAAAGAAAATTGATATATTTGAGTGCATTTAAAAATCGTAATAATTGAAAGTAATTCACAATTGACTAATCACTAAAAATGTAAATTCCTGGTCTGTTATCAAAGATAGTTTTAAATATTAAATTCAAATAGAAACTGAAAATATAAATTGAAATACTGTGGATAATCCTAAACTCAAACTTTAAAAATTGATTGCAAATGGTTTGAAAGGGAATTCATGCTTCGAGCTTGAATCAAACAAAAAGTGTAGTACATTATGAGTTTTTGAAGTTTATCTGGAAAACCAATATATGACTAAATATAATAAAAACGAGTACCATATAAATAGTTTCACCAAAACAAAAGAAGTTCGCTTATGACATTGACGACATTTGCTATAGATGTTTAAATCATTTTAAAATACATAAGACAATTTTAAGATAATGTCAAGAAAATAATTTTAACAGTGGTGATCAGATCGTATCGATATTTAAATTGATATCTAATATTAAACTGTGTTATACCTAAAAATCCCGATGATGAAAGGATGAAAGTTAGCCTAGAGTATATGGATATTACAGACCCTCTCCTTTACAAAAAAAATTGCAGAATAATATACGTCCATTTTTCAATGGCGAACATAAACAAAGCAGGACAATTTAAGATAATTGCAAAAATTTCCGAACGAATTCATTATATTAAAATTTTTATTTTATTTATTTTTGCTACAGTTTTTTCCTTGAGCTTATATATTTTTCTGAAAATTTTCTATTAACTATAATATATCCACATACATACCTCGGTTCCCAACCATAATCGTAAAACACTAAAAATGTCATACGAATTTTCAACAACAACAAAATAAATAAAAAACTTTGCAAATTTTAAAATTTATTTCGTGTTATTTTATTGCGCTTTAGATTCCAATAAGAGTGCCATTAGCGGCGACGGACAGAAGAAGGTGCCAGACAAGGGTCCTGTTATGCTGCTGTATGAATTATTCAATGATGTTCATTTCGATTGTTCGACTGTAGATGGTGCTCAAAATAATTGTCGTTTTAAAATGACTGTGACTGTAAACAACAATAAATTTGATGGCACAGGTGAGTAATTTCAAATAAAAATACATGGGCTTATTAGGTAAGCGAAAAACGTCCTGGCGTCATTAAAATTCAACCACATTTTTGGCACATCTTTAATTAAGTTTGTTGAACCAAATCTACGCCAGTTCAGTGCGTTACCATTTTCCTGATAGAATTATCATGCCGTTGCAGTGGAAATTTTTAAATATCTCGGTAAAACATCGAGCAAAAGGATTTTTACAGACATTTATTGAGATCAGATTGTCGTACAATTTTCTGCAGAGAGAGGAACAACAGGTAATTGGACGGCGCAGGATCCCTGTCTTAGGTAAAGGTTTGCCTTACGTGTCGTCTATTCGGACTTGGTTAGCGTTGGTGCAAGTTCACCTATCTTGGATTAGGACCTATTGGACGCATTTTATCGTACGTAATTCATCGTTCATTGCCCCTTACCAAGCTTTTTCAAAATTGCTCGAGTTGTTTTCATGCCAATAGCCATTCGCGGATAGAAATTATGTCCATTACAGTCTTTCTCAGCTTTTTGTAGAATCTCATGAATCTTATTATATATTGGCCGACAAAAGCCCTGCACTTTCATCGCAATATCGAAATTCCTGTAAAAAAATTAGCCAAACACTTGCGTGCTACCACTTTCGATGAAACATTTTTATCACGAAATATTTATACCCATCACCGAAAGATGAGAGGTGTATTTATTTTGTCAAAACGTTTGCAGCTCGCAGAGAGAAGAACCCGAGACTCCACAAAATATATATATTCTTGATCAGCATCAAATCCTACATCGATTAAAACATCTCCGCCTGAACGTCTACCCACACGTGTCTATCCGCTTATTGCCGCAAAAATGAAACTATCTACTTCAAATGTGGCAGAAACATTGGAAGTTCTTGTACGCAGGTTGGTAGTGAAAATGGGTCAAATCGTTCAAAGGAGACTAATTACTCATAAACTATAGCAAGTAAATGTACAAAAATTTGAACGAATATTTTATGGGGAATGCTGTAGAATTTGTGTAGAAAAATGGAAAAAATTGACAACGCCTCCCCAATATTATAGTGTATTACCTTTATAACGCTCAGAAAGAAGCTTCAAAACTCTATAAAATATATAAATTCTTGGCCATATCCGCCTATTTGTCTGTCTGTCTGTCCGTTTGCACAACTTTGTTATAATGGCGGTAAATATTCTCCCGTTAGCAAAAATGAAGATATCGCCAAAAAATTTGCAGAAGAATTTGAAATTGACCTCATCTTTTCAAAGAACACGCGTAGAACACCCACATGCTTACGCGACAAAAACTTTTAATTATAAAATACAAAAAATCAGCTACGCCCATTTCATATTATAGAGCATAAAAAAATCTTGTTCTTATATTTCTTTTGTCATTTTTAAGATAACGGTGATACGTATAAAAGAATTGGTCCCGACCGAATTTAATTTTCTTACTTCTTTTATTTTAACGTTTTTTAATGAAAAATTCACCATTAAGCTAAAACTGTAACGTGCAGCAGTCAACAATACCTTTTTTTTTTTCATTTTAATACAGTGTTCCATAAAGGAGCTCTTTACTACATTAAGTTTAAATTCGTGGTTGCTTTAAACCTAACAGTTAAATTGGTTTGTAACAAATTTACAATTTTTAACATAATCACTTGATGAAGAGAGCAAAGAAAAAACATCGCCTAATGTCAAATTATGGTATTTTGGGTAAAAAGGGTAATAATTGAGTAAAAGTGAACAAGGCGGTGTTACTATATTAAGATAATCACCAGAATTTTGTGAATTTCAATGCCAATTAGGCATTTTTACCTGATGCGTTCCAGTTAAAACGTTCACTATTGCTATTAAATTGGCAAACAAATTAAACATATTTATCAGTTGCCAATATGTATTTATGGTAAGGGACATGTATTCCTCGTCCGCTTTATAAATACCCATTTTTATCCGAGATTGCAAAAAACTGCACACAAGCGTTGCCGTCTTGGTCGAAGTGTTATCAAGTATAGTGTTTTTTTTCGGAATTACAAGCTATTTTCAAAATGCAATTACTTTCGACGGAATTAAGAAATCTCTTCATTTCTTTTTTAATTCATCACCCCATCCACAATATCATACGGAACGTCAGACGACTTACGAAGCACATATATTCTCGATCAGAGTGCCATTCTGAATCGATCTAGACATGTCTGTTCCCCTGTCTGTTGGCTTGTGTGGATATGTGTGGTAGACATTACGCCGCTTGCAAAAATTTAGGTATCAACTTCAAATTTTGTAAAAACTTTGGAATTCCGGAAGGTTGGGACTGAAAACAGATCGTTGTATGTTACATTAAAGTATGAATTTAGTTTACAATTATTTTCTGCAGGTGGATATGTAAAACTATGGTTTTGCTTGCAGTTTGCTGAAATCTTAGACATGTAGTTTTTTATTTACAGGTCCTTCAAAGAAGTTAGCCAAAAATGCAGCAGCTAAAGCAGCTTTAGCTTCGCTTTGCAATATCTCATACAGTCCCATGATGCACCCACAAAAAGCTTTGCCTTTGCCCTTAGATGATAAAACTACTTCTATGGAACTACCACAAATTCATGCTGACATTATTGGCCGTTTAGTATTGGAAAAGTTTATGGAGGTCATTAAAGGTCAAGAATCATATTCGAGACGCAAAGTGCTAGCCGGCATTGTAATGACCGAAAACATGAATTTTAGTGAAGCAAAAGTATGTCTAAAGTCAAACCAATTAATTAGTAAACTTAGGTGCCTTTACTCTTTTTTTAGGTTATATCAGTATCCACCGGTACAAAATGTGTTAGTGGAGAACATATGAGCATCAACGGCACCGTTTTGAACGATTCTCATGCCGAAATTGTGTCACGTCGCTGTCTTATGAAATATTTATATGCTCAATTAGACCTTCAATGCAATCAGAGTGAGTACTACGCATCATAGAAGTATCTACTTTTTAAAAAAAACTTTCGTGTGCATGCTACTTTTCATCTATAATATTATGATCTATATCTATATAGTGTATACATATGTATGTATATATATATATATGTGTGTGCATATATGTATATATATATATATATATATATATATATGTATATTTATATATATGTATACTTATATAAATGTATATATACATATATATATTTTTATAAATTAATTTATATATATGTTTGTAAATATTTATATACATTTATATTTTCATATATATATATTTATGTGTACCGAAACGTCTTCATTTTTCAGGACATTTTTTACAGGTTTTGAGTTATGTTAATTTTATTTCACATGTTTGGATTTTGTTTTGTCACTCCTTCACCTAATAACATTCAAACATGGTTTTCATCCGTTAATTTTTACTGGAATATACATATATATATGCTCTAATTTTCGATAATTTTTTGTTTTCGAATTTCATTTCTTTTTAATAGTTTTGAATTACTCTTTTATTTTTATAAGAATTAAAAGAAGGGGTTATATTCCACATGCGAAATTAAACCTACACATTCTGAATAAAGCAACTCGCGTACATTCAGAAAAATGAAAGTGAACATATCATACCGTATGATTCCCCTTGCGGTAGAGAGTATGCTCACTTCATGCTAATGTATATACATCGTGCCCAAAACAGAAACAGTCAGAATCATTTTCTAAATCGTCTATCCGCTTACTTGTCTATTCATGTACGTTAATGTTCGAACTATAAGTTGCATTTTTTAAGATATTGGGCTAAAATTTAGTACACTGACGTAATTTGGCTCAGAAACACACCCTGTTCAATTCCAGTTTTTCACAAAAAACGCTGAGCAGTAGTATTTTGAGATACTATGCTGATGCCGAAAATGTAGACGGGAAGGGCTGCTGTGTTGAGTTCCCTTTTATATTACATTTTCTATAAAACTTAAGCTTTTACTTGTCAAAACTGCGTAATTTTTAATATTTCGCATTGATAACAGTAACTTAATATAAAAATCAACTGTACCAAATTTGGATCATGTAGGTACATTTTTATAACCCTCCCCTGACAATGGTACTTATGAAATCCTAGTCTTTATATTGCCACAAAGTCTAATTTTTAGCTCCTTATGACGAATAACAGTGAATTCTTTAACAAGAAGACTAACTTATTTTTGTAAAATATAGATAGGGTCATTTTACGTTTCGTGCAAATAAACCAGCCTCTCATTATTCTTCTTCACGCTAGCAATACGGACCTTTTTCTGAAACAAACACTTTTTATTCATATTTTCTATAAACAAATAATATTATTATCGTTTTACAAAGAGAACTGCCTCAATATGAGATCACAATCAAGATGACCATACATTTTATTTCGAGAGTTAATAAGATTTCCGTTTTATAAAAAAAGTTTACAGAAAGGTCGACAACATGTACGATATAAAAACTTAACTGAGCATAATCACCAGTGCTATTTTTGCAAAAGCAAAGGAAATAACGTCGGGTTGATCCGAAGCTTTTTATTCGCACTAGTTCTTGTATAATGCTTGATCGCATGATAGAACGGGCATTCATATATTCTGTATATCTCATACATTTTATTAAAGATACCGTTGATTCAATTTTTGCGACACGAGGCTTAGGATATATTTCATTCGCAAATTTGAAACTAAAAACTCCAAAAAGCCCTTGACATCATACTAAGAAGCGAAGTAATCACTTATTTTTTTTCAAATTGTTGAAACTAATTTCAAAAATTCGAATAAGAATTAACTACCTGATAATAACAATTTGAAAATAATTTCTAGTTTTTAATAAAGGGACAAAGCAAACAGGGGTGAAAAAATTGTTTCCCCTATTCAATATATACATATACATATGAAAGTATGAGATCAAGAGAAAAGTTCGGGGCTTTTTCACATCGCAAATTTTTCTCATAAATAAAAATAAATGCCTATGTTTCAAAATATATATAACTGAGTGACACACTGAACTAAATGGTTTGCACAAACCTCTTTTAAAAGCAGATTTTTAAGAGCTCTGCAGAGAGCAACGCAAAGGGTAGTTAGAAGGGGCAAGATCTGAATTTTACGGTCGATGCCTGAAAATTTTTTAACTAAAATACCCAAAGAAGGCATATCTCCTACGCTTTGGATGCTCTTTCTCACTTGTGCCCCTTAAACGCATTTGTAGTGGATAGCAGAGAGTTGAATCACTCGAATCAGATGCACGATTTCTCTCCAAATTTAGCTTATTGCCAAGCATTGTCTTATGTGTTGTCAATTCTGGATTAATCATCGTTTGTCCAGCTCCTTTCATCTTGGATCGCGGTGGTTTTAGCATCACTGAACACATCCAAGCTTTAATCCAAACTCCGTAATATTTAGAAAAAAATTTTGAAATCTAGACCATGTTGGGCTGAACGTCGTTTGTAATTTTTTCAATTACCTTTAGTTAATTAATGAGTAAAGATGAATAAAAAAATCAACAGTTAATCCTCACAAATTTGACAATCGATTCATTTAATTTTGCAGCAAATTATCAGCCATTATATCTCCCCTTGAAAATGCTTACTATATTAAGTTCATATATTTTCAACCATAAATGGCTTAAAATTTCACAATGTGTAAGTGCGAATATTCATTTCATTTTCATGACACTTCATTTTGAGACACTTTTTATTTAGAGTTGATTGCCTTTTTAATTTTGTTTTTACATTTACAGAAAAAAATGCCGATTAACCACTAACATTATTTCTTTAAAAACGTACACTTATGTCACTTAATTAAACAGATAACGGTTCAAACAACAAAAACAACAATTACAATAATGATGATGTTAAATTTTCAATTTATTTTTATAGCAACAGCAAATCAGTCGATTTTCGTGAGGAACCAAGAAAATGCGCAATACCCGTACAAACTGAAAACCGGTGTACATTTTCATCTGTATATTAATACAGCGCCTTGTGGGGATGCTCGCATTTTTAGTCCCCACGAAAATGACTCTGGTATTGATAAGCATCCAAATAGGTTCGTAAACATTAACAAATTTATTCCAATAATAATTATACAAATTATTATTATTACTAATATTCTTTTGTAGACCGAGTAGAGTTTTCTTGTAGAAAACATATTTATTTATACTTTTGTTTAAATATACTCATTTCATTTTTTTTTTTTAGAAATTTTCGATAATAAAAAGAAAAGTATTTAAAAATGAATGAAGAAAACAATTTGAAAGTGAAATGAAAGTGAGACATCTTCTTAGCTACGGCATGGACACCAAAATCCAGCAGTGGTGTTCTTAAAATTTTGTAATACTTTTCTTTCCGTACATTTGACTTAGAGAATCCCAGCCTTTTCAAGAATCTATTGTAAAGAACTGGCTTTTATTTTCAAATATTTTGCCAACTTTTTTTAAAATTTGAAACTTTTTTGCAAAATATTTTTTTAAAGAAATTTCTTTCTTTTTTTTGTGTTTTTCTCTCTTTTTTCTAATTTTGTTTATTTAAAAAAAATAAAAAATATATGTATACATACATACATATATACATATATATATACAAAATATATATATACAAAAAATATATGTATACATACAAACAAATATATGTATACATACATATATATATATATATATATATATATATATATATATATATATATATACATTTTTCTAATTTGTTTTCAAAAATGCTTTCTATTCACTTCGAATCACGCGTAACAATACACTGCAAACAATAACCAAACTGGTGTGTGCGTGTCGATCGTATGATCTCTACTTGTGTGTCTACGTTTGAATTTTAAACATTACAAAAAAATGTTAAATACAACAAAACGCAAAAAAAAAAAAACTTAATTTGATACTGTAACGTGTTGCTGTAAAAATTTGTTTTTTATTCTTAATTTAAATCAAATTTTATTTTTAATATTATTTTGTTGCTACTCATTCAAATGTTAATCAAACATGTAGAAAAGCACGGGGTCAATTGCGTACAAAGATTGAATCCGGCGAAGGTACTATACCAGTAAAGAGTAGTGATGGTATACAGACATGGGATGGCGTGCTAGAGGTAAGTCAAACATTTCTACCTCAATTACCCTAACTATTATGAAAACTAATTAAAAAAAAACTAATGTCTGATTTGTGTAAGAAATTATTTAAAGTTGTTACTAGTGCTACACATTCGGGCCAAGGAATAAGCTTCTACGATAAAAGGGAAACAATTGGAAAAGTTACGAAATCTTATTCATTTGAATAAACGAAGCGCAAATTATTCTCTCTATTGAGAAATTGATTGCCGAAATTGATTACAGTATCAACAGATCAATGAAAGAGTTTTTACAGATGTGAATTGCAGGTGAACATACGAGCAAATAATTTACGAGAAATAATTCATCTAAGACAACTCAGTTTCCCTGTTATTGACCACTTACTCAGATATAACGATAAAATATAAACCCACCGATGGACTAAAATTTTTTTACCATGTGATTTAAACTAATACTTTATATTAAAATTACAAACAATTTTAATGCAAACGCGTGACCATTTCACCACAATAGAAGAAGTCTTGCGGCTTGTTTGTGGCATATTTTGGATGAAGATGGTTAAATTTAATATGTCGCCAATACTTCGGTGACGGGTACAACAAAACCAGAAGATCTCTGCATAGTGGCAGCCAAACTTTTTTATGTTTAATATATATGTTCAGGTGGAGAAGGTATATTCTATGTTATGTAAGTGAGAAATAACTAATAAGAAAAAAAATGAATAGATATACATTTCACTGAGTATAGATAGCTTATAAATTAATACAAATCGATTTATTTCAAAGATATCATTTATTTTCAGTTTACTGTATTTAGATATAGAAACAAAAACAACAAAAAAAATGGAAGCAATAACAAACAAAAAACGAACAGTATCTACATTTAGATGATGTTTAAACTATGTATTGGCAAGAAACAGTGTGTCGTACATAATGTAAGGATAGCGTAGACGATAATAAGTGAAAGTTGTTAGAATAATTATGACAGGCGTAGTCATTTTGTAAACAGCAAATTATGTTTTTGAACGGATCAAATAAATTGTATATTATTAAGATAAAGCAAAATTTCGTACTGTTTTTCACGGAAATTCAAATACAATTTTCTTAAAGTTCGAATTAAATTTGTTAAATCAAATATACCCCATTTTGATTGATCAGTTTTCACCTATTCTCTGTCAAAACTATTATGCCAACTTTGTAGAATTTCTGTGGGCAAAAATATTAATTGAAATGAATTTCACACGCCTATGTTGAAGTTAGCTTTACACCATTAACTGACCTCAGCCGAGAACGAAACAAATGGCTCTTGGATGGAAGCAATATCCAGGCCATGCATGTGGATGCATCAAAATCTCACAGCCAGGCTCTGCAGACTTCTGTTAAGTCATTAAAAATATCTATTGTCTTCGGCATTGTCATCACAAACAAGATGAATTTTTGCTCAAACCTGCAAAGCCTCTCGCTTTAATCGAACTGGTATTGTAAATCACAGCAATTTTTTCAGAACTTTCATTATTTTTTAAATCGCAAATATTTTCGATTAAAATAATAAATTCCACATTTCTTTGTTTATTACCTGTGAACTGCTACCTTGAAATGTGCGCTGTAGTACGGCTTGATAAGATTTATGTTACGAAGATTACGCGATTCGAGACCCATATTTTAGGGACGCCGTCAAGAAACTCGCCATTGGTCTATATAAAGAAAAAGAATGATAATAATGCAAGAAATAAAATATACTATAAAAGAGACATAGCGACTATGCCGATCATATTATTACGGAAATCCCAACTCCAATGTATTCCATCTAATTAACTTTCCCAGAAAATAAATTCCCCAGAGAGGGAAAAACCAAGTGCAAATTCGCGTCGCATCATGCAACTGCTCGCCGAAGAAGAAGATTAGCGGGAGAGCGCATTAAGAGATTACAAATGGAACCATGAACTTAGATAATAGTAATATGCTTGTAAAAATGTAGTAAGCGGAAAAAAAGACAAGCTGCAGCGCCGAATTTGGAAGAAGAACTGGTTGGAAAGCGAGCTTTATTCATATAGACTTAGTACAACTGTATAAGCCATTGTATAGTGACAGACTGTCAACAAATTTACAATCTAACGAGGAAGAACCGTACAAAGTCATCGCGAGGGTACCTGATAAAGTCTACTGCATACAAAAACATCAGAAAGGCGAAGCTACAAGTAAGCTAGCACACGTAAGCAGACTGATAGCTTTTAGAAATGACCTTGCATTGTAAATAAAAAAATCTTGAAGTGAAAACGTGCAAGTATATTTCTCTTAAAAAAAAGCTCGACTTTGTGATACGAGCCGTATCCAGAAAGATAGATTTCGTAACAATGTGTTCAGTGGTGGACGAATACGATGATTTTAAATAATATTTTTCCGCTTTTTAACCCAGCGGATATTAAATGCTAATAGCTTAAGTTAATCATAATACTCCGATAGACATACATATTTCGAAAAAAGTTTAATAGATGTACCACATAAGTTATATCGGATAACAAATATGCTTGCACACCGAATAAAAGTGATGTGCAGTAGATCATCCTATAGGATAATCTACGGGTTCGCATAGGATGGACTTATATGGAGAAGAAACTATGGCCGTGTGCTAAACCAAGCTCTATAGCTTGGCAAAACAATGAGTTAGATGTTTCAATTTTATTTCATTTTGGCTCTAATAATTAATATAGCGATTAAGTTCATGAAAGAAAAATGAAATAGTAGAAAATATGTATTGATGAACTTTTCTACATTTCTTACGTAAAAATACGTTCATTATGCAATGTCCATAAAAATTGTGTTTGTATAATTAAAGTAACTCGTACAACATGGATGTATACAATACAGAACGAACCTATTGCTTTATAGAACGGTCCACTGTACTGCACAAAACTATGCTGTAAATCGATTAATGATTATTTGCTTTATTGATTAGTCAAAACCAATTTTTCTTATATATTAATAATAAATAATACAAAATTAATATATGAATAATTAGGCATACAGAGATAATGTGTGATTATCAGGGACCCTTGAAAAAATTTGTAGAACTGAAGAAGTGTGCGCTTGTTATTAAACTACTGTTAAAGCTTTCTTTGCTGATTAAAATGTATGGCCGTTAACAATCATAGTATTAATAATTATGTATACAAAAATGCTAATAATAATAATAATAATAAAACGAAGGCAGTTTAGAAGACCAGTGCGCTAACAATTTAATTATATTTGGTTTGTTAACTTTAATATGAAAAGAACGTTTACTTGATAAATTTGCCAATTATAAGTCTGCGTCGTGATCAGGAGTTAGATTCAATTACGAGCCCAAAATTGCACTTGTTTCTTGCGGATGTTTTTTTTTTTTCGTTTTTGCTTTTTATTTATTACGTGATGAGAAGGCGAGCGAAAGTGGTTGACAGCTTTTATGTAATTCTATAAACGTTAAACGTCCTGGCTTAAGTGAGCCCTCCAATAATACTCCTGAAGTAGCGGCGGTTCTGTGATGGAGTTAAATTAATAAAATTCACAAATCAGACATTTTTAGAAGTTTTCGTATTATTATCAAATATTTAACCGAAATTTAAAAGTAATTTTTCCATTAACATGATATTTTTTACTGTATATTTTTTTAAGGGTCAACGTTTACTTACCATGTCTTGCTCGGATAAGATCGCACGCTGGAATATTGTTGGCATACAAGGATCTTTATTGGCTTCAATTGTTGAGCCAATTTACTTGCATTCCATTGTGCTTGGCAGTCTTCTACATCCGGAGCACATGTATCGTGCTGTTTGTGGACGCATTGAAAAGTCGATACAAGGTCTTCCTCCGCCCTATCATTTAAATAAGCCTCGTTTGGCACAAGTAACCTCATCAGAGCCCCGTAATCAGGCGAAAGCTCCGAATTTCGGTATTAATTGGACGTTGGGCGACACCGAAGTGGAAGTGGTTAACTCATTAACCGGAAAAACGGTTAATAATCAAATCTCACGTATTACCAAACAAATGTTTTACCGTAAATATGGAAATTTAATGAAAAATCTGCCAGGCATTAACGAACGGAAACTAACAACTGATTACGGACAAACCAAAGCCAAAATTAAGGACTATCAGGTGGTTATAGCAAAAAAGGATAAAAATAATAGTTGTGTAATAATCAAGTCATACGATAACGGAAATTTATATCACATTTCCACTTCTTTCCATTTTTTTTTTTTTTTGTCTCTTTGGTTTATCTTTAAATTCTATAGATTGCTAAACGCGAACTGTTTGCGGCGTTCAGACGTGAAGATCTGGGCAATTGGTTAAAGAAACCGCAAGAACAAGACGAATTTGCGCTTCCAGAATGACTGCATCACTTTGACGTGACAACAAATGATTTCGTTTACAAAATATTAGTTTTCCAGCCAGTTCACTATCTTAATAATCAAAACAACAACAAGAAGAAAAACAGCAAGAATACAGAAGAGCAACAACTTCAATTATATATAACACTATTATTGCTACAATTATTATCATTATTATTATATACAATACAATTTGTATTCTTATCAACATTATTAACGAAATTTATAATTAGAATTCAGACAAGAACAACGGAAACAATAAGAACAAAAACAACCATTTTTATAAAATCGCAAACAATACTACAATTATTCTTACAACTACAACCACAATTATTATTATCATTATTATACAGATTAGTAATTTTAATACTATTACTATTATTACTTATACTACTATCGGCTTTAGTAGTTCTTAACCGTTTCAAGAAAGCAGTTAATTCAACCAGAAAAAACACAGCTCAACGAAATCTTTTACAAATTGTTGCTAATGATAAAAACAACAACAACAATAACAAAATTAATAATAACACCAGCAATACGAAGCATACCTATAGTCGACGGTTTTATCAATGTAGACGTTGGTATTTTGTTGTTGCTCTTAACGGATGCACTAAAAAAGAGGTTTTAAATAAATTAAAAAATTTCTTTAAATTGAATTTTAAAGGTTATCAACCTTTATATAGTTTATTAATATGTAACATCACATCTAGAATATTTCTAGAATAGAATGTAGCTAAGATGCTGGAACTAAGTAAAGCAAGTATTATGGCGTTTTAGTCTAAACGAAAAAATCTAACAAACAATTTAAATAAAGATTTAACAATAATTTCAATTTCAAACCTAATCACAGGAGCCTAAAACATACCAAAAATCTAACATACAGCTACATACACCTGATACAGCGCAGCACTTCATACACAATCATCGAATTTTTGTTTTTGCTGCATATACACTTTTTCACTCTCGTCACCAGAACATTGAAAGATTAAGCAAAATAACAAAAACCAAAACCTTTACTCATACTATTGTTAGATAATTAATTAATCCATAATTAATAAATAGCTTTTAATGATTAGGTGTAGAATGAGCAAATTTAATATTTCGTTTGCTTCTTATTTATGTAGTAATTTCCCCTTAAAGAAAAAACTCTTAATCAATCTTAAAAGTATTCCATTATTACATAAAAACAAAACGAACAAAAATTAAACAGGAAAAAGAACATTTTCGCATTGAAAATTCATTTGCAGTCACTAAATTACTTTAAATTTTTTGCATTTTTTCAAATCCTCCCATTAGTATGATTCCTCGCTATTTATGATTTTAATATATGTTTACCACCGATGTTTTCTTTTTATCGTTAATGTTTTTTAATAATTTTAAAAATTAATTTAATTAAATTTAAAAATTCATTATTTGTTTGTATCTATACACATATACTATATATCTATATGTAGATATATATATATTTGTATATATACATATATTTTATATATGCCTAAAATAAATTTGAAATCCTTAAATATTTTTAAAACCCTTGTGTTTTCTTTATATCTGTAATCTTTTTATGTATATTATTTGTCTGAAAAACATATTAATTATTATTACTTTCTATTAAAACTTAATTGGCTTCATTTAATTTTAAATTTCGTGTTGGAATTGACTGTTCAAAAATGTAAAGGCCACTAAGCTTGAATGTAGTTTAAATAATCCGTCACGGTCCTACATTATTAGTTATATTAATTTAGTCTTACACTTAAAAAATATGTACTTTACTTAAATTATATTTTCTTATTATGTAAAAGTGTACATTACATCGTATCTCTTCTTTTATTCAATTATATTGATAACTAATAGTTAGAGATATATTAGCTTTTGTAGGAATAAGCCTAGGAAGTAAATACAAGTTGCTCCAATACTTATTAGACTTGTTTAAAGTTTCTGACCGACCCAGGTGCTCACGTCTTAATATATTCGTCTTGATCATGAGCGTTATCTACGGGCGTTTCAATTTAATTATTCCGTTTCAGGGAACTAAGAAAACTGCGTCGTACATATTTTTTATCACAGAAAGTAAATTTTCAGATAAAAGTACCACGATCTTAAAAATTTTTCCAAGTTATTATAATCGATGTATTCAACATTGTGTTATACGCTTTAATACATAATTGATGGCACTTAACCTAACGGTTGGTGTTCTTGAATTTAAAAAACCAAGAACTGAAAAAAGTGATCCAAATGCACCATATCCCTATTGACCGTTGCTATGGGCCTTATGATTTGCCCTCTTCTTAGAAAAAAGAGTAATTAATGAAACAAACGGAACGTCAGCAAGAGTCAGTCTTCCAGAACCCAAAAAAGTGAAATATAAATTATTAAAAGAGGTATTTTGAAGGAAGAATTCTGTATAGGCCAGCAGACATATAGGGTTCATCAAATCCTTTTTGGTATCCTGAACATATCCATATATATGGTGCAAATAGTAGAATCCGTTCAGCCCCATCTGGGTGTCTATGTTGCAGAATCGTCATTACGTTTTCAAGATTCTCTAATTGTAAAGAAAATGTTGTACCCATTAACGAAGGATGAGGGGTGTATTCATTTTGTCAAAACATTTGCAACGCACAGAAGGGAACATCAGAGACCGCACAGAGTATATACATTCTTCACCATCAGCATCAAACTGTGAATCGATTTAAGTATGTCCATCTGCCCGTTTGTATAATATCTGTTGTGCCCATTCTCCTGCTTGCAACAATGGAGCTATCGACTTCAAATTTGGCAGAAATATTGGAAGTTCTTGGACGCAGGTTCGTATTGCAATTCGGCCAAATCATTCGAAGGTTACGCTCACAGCACCACATAAATTGAGAATACCTCTGCTTTTGAAAAGCAATTAAAAATTCGTTTATTATTTATTACTCATAAACTATAGCAGATAAATGTATAAACATTTGAAATCATACTCTATGAGCGACGGTGCACTTATACAAAAAATGGGAAAACTTGATCCCCGCCTCGCCAATGTTATAATGTATAAAAGTTTAGTTTTTTTCAATAATGTACAGAAACCAGCTTCACAAGCCCCACAAAGGACATAAATTCTTGGCCAGTTTCAAATTTGGAATTAACCTAAATATGTCCGCCTGTTCGTCTGCCCATTTGTGCCTCTGCGCAACTGTGTAGTATCCGAACATTCCGCCGTTAGCGAAAATGAAAATATCGCTAACAAATTTGCGAAAGAATTTCGAATTGACCTAATCTTTTCAAAGGGCACGCCTACAACGTCCGCACACCTATGCGACAACAACTTTGATTTTGTAAGTAGAAAAAAGAAGTCGCGCCCACTCCATGTTATAGAGCATGAAAATTTAGTTCTTTTACTTTTTCTGTTTTTTTTAGGATAACAGAGATGGACGTAAAAGATTCCGTCACGAACATATATAATTTTCATAAATATATATTTTTTTTAATTCATCCTTTCTTTTTGCTCAAATTAGGTTAAATTTAAATATTTGTTAAATGAGCTGGGTTTGTTAACGCGGATTAAAAATATTTACATTTTTTCGGAATTTTGTTATTAATTCTAAATGTTATAAATGAAATGATCAAATCTTGAGTGCTTTTACTTGAAATACGTGGCTCGCAACCAAGGTCTCAGTAATTTTGAAATTAATGACAAAAATATTTGGATAATATCCTCTCTCAACTCTTTTTTCGCTTTTAAAATTCGTATGGAATATAAGAAGCTAGAAAAAGTTTGGAACTGATGAAGATATTGACCGTCATTGCCGGCTTAGATTGAAAGATTAGCGAAATTGACTTTGCTATGTTAGTACTGCCGGGGCTGGCATATTGAAATTACACGTGACTCCCCGTCACGTGTCCACTTGTATATCGTGAAAATGTTTGCGCATTCAATCTTACTTATGATAACTTTAAGTTATACCAATCAGTCAGAAGTTGTGCGTTTGAAATTAAACGTTTATCTATTTAACAATGTAGCTTATTAAAATTTAATTATTTAAGGAAATGGAATAAAGAAGATAATAGAATTATAATAATGGAATAATAATATTCGAAAGGTTGTTAAGTATTAAGAAAGTATTTTTTGCAAAAATGTTGAAAAATGACTATCAAAACCATTTTCTTGAGCTAAAGAAGTTCGTTTGTTAATAAAATTTGTCTAAATAACCTTATCAAATATATTGTACAATTTTCTCTTGAAAATCTAATTTTAAAGATATTGTAAAAAAACTGCACGAAAAGAATGAAAATTGTTTCGAGGGGGACGCTTTTACAATTTGGAAATCTATTATAAGCCTGTATCATGTTTGTCAAAGATAAAATCGCACGTTTTACCCTTTATGAATAGTGCGAAATGACAAAGAAGATGGCAAGTAAATGTATTCATAATTAAGATCAAAAACTTCACTTGTTGGGAGAAGGATTGGCATCGTTCTGACCGCTTCCATTCTTATATTACCTCAACAGTTACTTCGAAGAAGCGCTTTGTTAATTATTTTTGTTTTGAAATGCTTTTAAAGGAACATTAACGCTTTCTAAAGATATCCCCTAATATATTAGCCACATTCGAAATCAATAAGTAAGGTAAAGTATTAGGCTACGGCTTTCCAACATTAATCCTTCCGGAGCGCTTAAAGAAAATCCCGAAATTCCAAGGAGAAAAGAATTATTCATAAATCATTCAAAGCAGCCATAAAAGAAAAAGAATAAAAAGACAAATTTATTTTTCGAAAATTTTACAGGGGCTTCACCCTTAAGTACATAGAGTAGTACTTTCATTTTTAATCCAGAGAAGCAATGGGAAGACAAGGAAGGCAAGCAAGTGGTGTTGATATCAAAAAATTTAATGTAAATTGAACTTATGGAGGATGTGCCAAAATTTACGCAAAAATTGAATTTGTTGCCATTTGTGCGGTAAAGTATTGGCACCTAGAAAAAGAAAAAAAACATTTTTTTAGCTGGGAGCTTAGCATTACACG